TGCTAAATCGGTTTACGTTTTTGTTTTGTTTAAACTCCTTTTTTCCAGGGGGCGACAGTTTGCTGCATCCTAGAAGGCGGTTTACGGTTTAGGGTTTAGGGTACTAAAAACGAATCAACATGAGCATCGAGTGATAAAGCAGACAAGATAAGAGCTATGCAGTGACAGAGGTAACAGACGTTTCGGCGCTTCGAGTTGAAAGGCTAAATCCTGAAGTTTTTCAGTGCTGAGCCTTAACACTTAGAACAGGCTTCGGGGTGGTAGTTGCATAGATTCGCTAAGGAAGCTCAACCCTAAGCCCAGGGCACTCGGGCGGCGACGTCAGCACTCATGGCCTGAATTCGCCACCGGGAGCTACTCCGAATTAGCCCGTGGTTCCGGGCAAATGCACCTAAACTAAAAATTAGGAATGGGATCCCGCTGTAGTCCCGATATATATATATATATATATACACACACACACACACACGCATACACATATAATATATTAATATATATATATATATATATATATATGTTATCGTATACCCAAAAATCCTATGCTAATCACCAATCCCCCGTGACAGCCTGGGCTCCCCGAAGCTGTTGCTCTCAGGGAGTGGCAGCTGGACTTTACATCCGCGTGTTGCAGGTCGTCTCTACAGATGGTCACAACACGGCTGCCCTAAAGACCCTAAAACCCTGAAACCTAAACCCTAAACTCTCCAGATGCTTGCGAGATCTGGTTCGAGCTCCTGTCGCCACTGCCATCACGTGCATGCCTGGCACGCGCTGCGAGGGCAGAGGTTTGCATTCGGAGGTTCTCTTCGCGCGACAAGTCGTGGGTGTCAGAAATACATGGGTGGTTGTCAAAATCATGGTCCCTTTTTGGGTCCTTAACATAATACGGCACCTAATATTATTTAGGGTACCCAAAAAAGGACTATAATTTTGACGAATACCCACATGGCTTTCGGGACCCCAAACTGTAAACCCTACAATCCCGCCTGCGAAGGCTTCGAGTTCACCGGTGGACCTTTCGACATCCTGGGATCTACTTGGAGGATCATGGGACTTAGTAAGGTTCCTTAAAGGGCTCCGTAAAGGGATCTATAGGTTTCCTTATAAAGGGATCTATAGGGTTTGGGGTTTAGGGTCTACTTGGGAGGATCATGAGACTTAGTAAGTAAGGTTATAAGTACCTTAATTGGGGTTATAAGTAGTTATATGTAGTTACAAGTATAGTTATCCTGATAATAACCTTAGTTACTAAGTCCCATGATCCTTTACGTGTAGGATGCTTTAGGATTTAGGCTGTAGGAGCTCAGGATAAGTAACCACCATAGAATAGGGATCTGCAGCAAATAGTGTGGCAACTTTCTGGTAACTTAAACCCCACCCTAAATCAAAATCCCTACTAAACCCTTAACCCTAAACCCTCAACCCTAAAGCCCTAAGTTCCCTAACAGGAGCAACACCTAAAACACCCTAAATTACCCTAAACCCCAAACCCCAAATCCCTAAAGCCTTAAATTCCCTGACAGGAGCAACACCTAAAATTACCCTAAATTTCCCCAAACTCCAAACCGCAAAGCCCTAAAGCCCTAAGTTCCCGAACAGGAGACCTAAAAAAAGTCACCTAAATTACCCTTACCCTAAACCCCAAACCCCAAATCCCTAAAGCCCTAAATTCCCTGACAGGAGCAACACCTAAAATTCCCCTACATTACCCTTACCCTAAACCCCAAACCCCAAAGCCCTAAAGCCCTAAATTCCCTAACAGGAGCAACACCTAAAATTACCCTAGAATACCCTAAACCCCAAGCCCCAAAGCCCTAAAGCCCTAAATGCCCTAACTGGAGCCATACCCAAAATTGGCCTAAAGCCCTAAATTCCCGAACAGGAGCAATACCTAAAATTACCCTAAAATACCCAGACCCCAAAGCCCTAAATTCCCTAACCGGAGCCCAAAATTCCCTAACAGGAGCCCAGCATCAGAAGGCTCGGCAGGGGCTCCGCAGAACGCTCCAAGAAGAGGCTTCCGCCGCCCGGCGTGAGGAGGTCCTTCCTTGGCGCAGCTGCGAAGGGTGGGAGCTCTCGGGCTGATCGGGTTTAGGGTTTAGGGTTCAGGAGGGTTCAGGAGGGTTTTGGATGGTTTTTGGAGAGTTTTGGAAGGTTTTGGAGGGTTTAGGGTGCTTTAGGAGGGTTTAGGAGGCTTTAGGAGGGTTTAGGAGGGTTGAGGGTGCTGCGAAGTGTTTTGAGGGGTGTGATGAAGATGGTTTGGGGTTACAAGGCTTCGGGCTTCTGAGTTTCGCGCTACAAAACCGCAAAGGTGCGAAGGTCCAGAAGGCTAAAGAGTCCCAAAAACCCTCAAGGACCCACAAACACCTCCCTGAACCTTCAAACCCTAAACCCCTAGACCCCGCAACTCCAAACTCCCTAAAACCCCTATACCCCTATACCCCTGTACCCCTGTACCCCTAAATCCTAAACCCCTAAACCCGGAAGCTCCGCCACCCGCAAACCCTTGCACATTCTAAGGCGTCCTTCGGTTGATGATGTAAATCCTGCATTACCCCATAATAAGGAATGTACCATAATTCCCATAGGTCAGGGTCCTTAAGGTAATGCAAGATTTATCTCATCAACCCTAAACCCTAAACCCCCTTTTGATCCCTTAAAGGAGCCCCTTAAAGGTACCCTTATAGATCCCTTTAAAGGAGCCCTAGGGATTTATATCATCCACCCTTCCTTTAAAGGCAGTCCAAGGCTCGCAGCCCTGAGCTCCTGCGCGGGTTTCGGGCTTCGGGGTTTAGGGTTTGGGGCGTTTGGGGTTTAGGAAACCTTAAACCCCTAAACCCTAACATTGGGGTTTGGGGTCGAGGTTTGGGGTTGAGGTTTGGGGTTTAGGGAGTTAGGGGTTTCGGGTTTAGGAACCCAGAGACTCCAATATCCTTTAATTAGGGAATATACCTTAAATCATATTAGGGATCCTATTATAATTTAAGGTATATTCCTTCATTAAGGGGTTTTGGAGGCTCTGGGAAACCCTACACCCCTAAACCCTAACATTGGGGTTTGGGGTTGAGGTTTGGGGTTTAGGGAGTTAGGGGTTTCGGGTTTAGGGTTCATGGAGTTTCGGGCTTCAGGTTTAGGGTTCGGGGTTTAGTTTAGGTGGCAGTATTCAGATTCTGGGAAATGGGCAAGTGACCGGCAGCTGAGCTCCAGTCTAGGGCTTGTCGGGGTTGCAGCTTACGTGTCGGAAGCAGTGTGGGTGGAGGAGATAGCCTGGGCCAAACGCAGAAGGCTCAATAACCCGTCATGAGATTGCGAAGTAGCTGAATCATAATGGGAAGCTCTCATGTAAGGATAAACCGGGCTTCATAGACCCGAAAGCCCAACTCCCGAACCCCAAGCCCCTCCAAGAGCACTAAACCCTAAACCCTCACATACGAGCTAAGCCCCTTTTTGGGCGAACTTTCACCATCCCCAGCCCTAAACCAGCTCCTGCGTGGCTTCCTGCATCGCAGACAGGAGCTGGCTCATCTCGGCGCCGCCTCCCCCAGGGTTTAGGGCTTGGGGTTTTAGGGTTTAGAGATTAGGATTTAGGCTTAAGGGTTTTAGGGTTAGGGTTTAAGGTTTTAAGGTTTAGGGCTCACAGGCAACTCCACGTCACTTAAACAAAGGAAGGCCTCTTAGACTGTCAACAAAGGAAGGCCTCTTAAACTCTAGCAGCGGTCCTTCGTAAAGAACCCACATATATGTCAAGGACGATGGAGTCTCTGGGTCTTCCAAGGATTGCAGATCTGTCATGCATCTTCCCACCGGAAGGAACTTACCTGCAGCCCTCGATTGGAAGCCCTGGAATTCTAAACCCCATCCACTCACGAAGCCCTGTGTGAAGCTCCAGCACTAACCCCCTGAACCCTAAATCCCTAAACCCTCAGCCCTAAACCAAACCCCAAATAACTCCCAAGCCCCTAAACCCCCAAACCCCTAAACCACCAGACCTCAAACCTCTAAACCCCCAAAACCCGAATATAGGGGCCTCAAACACCAGAATAGGGTTTTGTGGTATACTATAACAATAACGAGGAACAGCATAATAGTTTTTGTACGTATTTCGACCCCTATATTAGCCCCCCAAAACCCCCAAGCAAGACCCACCGGACCTGAAGCTCTCCGATCCCTTAAAGGAACGCTTACAGATCCCTTAAAGGAGCCCTTATAAATCCCCTATAGATCCCTTTCATGGAACCCCTTATAGATCCCTTAAAGGACCCCTATGGATCCCCTTAAAGGACGCCTTATAGATCCTTTTAACGAACCCCTTATATAGAGCTCTTAAAGGGCCTGAAGTGCTCCAGGAGGACGCAGCCGGCTTCCCGAGGCAAGGAGCCGCCGCGCCCTCGCGGACGCTGAGGTCCCGAGGCTCGATGATCCAGATGTACCTTACTTAAAGGATCATGGGACTTAGTAACCATAGGGTTCTTTAAAGGGCTCCTTAAAAGGGACCTATAAGATGTACCTTAGTGCAGGTACTTCAAGGATCATGGGACTTAGTAACTAAAGTTATTATTAGAGTAACTATACTTAAAACTACTTATAACCCCAACTCAAGTACTTATAACCTTACTTGAGCCTTAGGGCAGGTAGGGTTTAGCTTTAAAGGGATCTATAGGGATTCTATAAAGGTATAGGGTTTAGGGTTTACTTGGAGGTTCAGGGGTTGCTATAAGTAGGGCTATAAGTCCCCTAATATGGGTTATAAGTATAGTTACCCTACTTATAACCCTACTTACAACTACCCATGAACCTCCAAGTAGGGCAGGTAGGGTTTAGCGTCTAGGGTTTGCGGTTGAGGGTCAAGATTTAAGGGCTTAGGGCTTTGACCTTAGGTCATTTAAGGTTTGGAGGCTTTGGGTTCGGAGGTTTCGGGTTTGGGGTCTAGGGTTTGGGGTTGAGGTCTCAAATCCTAAAACGCGAGATTGCCTCCCACTCATAGAGCCTTTAGCCGGTCCTTAACCCGCAAACACACCAACGAAGCCGAGAATCCTTCTGACTTGGTTTCTGGCATCCAGGGCCCGGTAGCCCTTGAAGACTTTCCCCGAGGCAGCAAAGCGGTCCGTCCAGGGGCCGTCGTCGCACCTGGTTTCCCCGGGAGCAGGTCTTGAATGGTTCAGGGTTTCGGATTTCTAAGGCTAAGAAAGGGCATCCTTGCAGTCTTCATGGAACCTTGATTCGGACCCGCCTGGACCCCTGAAACCATCCAGACCTCAAAAAACAAAAAACAAACCGAAGCACTGGAACGGAGCGAGGAAGATGATCAGCTGACAAGCCTGACGGTTTCAGGGCTCGGTTTGGGCTTTAAGGCTTCGTATATATGTGGGACGTTTCAAGGCCACTGTTTGGTTCTTTGGGGATGTCAGGTTTCAGGGGGCCCCTGGCGAGGCCCTAGCTACGGAGGATGATCTTCGTCTCTACTCCTTACCCATGAAAACCTGAAAGCTAAAGTTCGGGTTTAGGTTAGAAGCTGCCCCCACCCTGTAATAGTGACTATGAGGATTATATTAGGGCCCTAGTATATTCCTATTACGCCACTATTACAGGGAGGGGGCAGCTTCTAAGGTTTAGGGTTCAGAGTTTTGAGTTTCGGACTTCAAATCTGAACCCGAAGATCGAATCCCAACATCCTAAGCTCATAACACTAACGCTAACCCTCATGCCTGACGCCTTATCGCAATCCTTCCGGTACCCTCATCGCAACCCTTGTGGTACCTTTATAGTAACCCAACTTAGGTACTGGCCCCATACAGCATATAAAAGGGCTGTTATCAGGGGCTTATATAACTATATTGCAAGTATTTTTCAACTGATACTGAGTGGGGGACAAAAAACACCTAAGCTGTAATCCTCACAGTACCAAGCCTTCTAGCAGGCCTTAAACTACCCTTGTAGTAACCCCTATCGTACCTCTAAGAGAAACCCTAAACCCCAAACCAGAAAACCCCAAACCCTAAACCCCAAACCCTAAACAAAACCCCAAAACCCCAAAACCACAAAAAAAACCCAAATCGCCACGGAAAAAACACTAAAAAAATAATAAAGAAAAAAACAGATGCTCTTGTCCGGCCTGGAAAGCCAGCAGCTGACAGGACCCGGCGAGGCGGCGCCCCAGCAAGATCGACGAAACTTGCCTGGGCTCTTCTTCGGGAATAAGAATAGGAATAAGAAAAAGAGTAAGAGTAAGAGTAGGAATGAGAATAAGAAGAGGAATAAGAATGGGAATAAGAATAGGAATAAGAATAAGGATAAGAATAACAAGAAGAAGAGTAGCAACAATAAGAGAACAACAACAATAACAATAAAAGTGATAGTAACAAGGACCATAAAGATGATAATAGCAATAATACGGCAATGACAATTCATCTTATTTTATTCACAAGAATAAGAATAAAAATAACAACAATAAGCCTTGTTGTGACAATACACATGGCGAAGACACTAACAATAAGAAAGAGCATAGTACTGATGATGTAACTTACCATAGAAAGTGCGCCATACTGTATCTTAATTTAAGCTCCTTGACCCCAAAACCCTGAAAGGAACCGTAAACCTTAAGGAACCCTTGTAGTATCCCTCCTGTGTTACATTGAAACCGCAACCCTAAACCCTAAACTTCCTAAACTAGCTTCCTCAACAATAACCCAGTTGCAGTGTGAGAGCAGCGATCATCGCAGCAAAGGCCGCCCCAAAGGCGGCCTCATGAGGTGCGGCTTTAGGGTTACGGTTCAGGCTTTTGGGGTTTAGGCTCTAGGCTTAAGGGTATGGGGTTTGTGGGATGGTGGGCTTGCTAGGGTCGTATAGGGGCGTAGCCATTCTTGTTTAAGTCCTGCACCCTGATGTCTAGACTCTAGAGTTCCTTAAGCCCCAAAGCGGCGTCAGACGTTAACAAGGAGTTGTGCTGACGGTTTCACACCAGGTCTCCGTCGCTTCACACCGCGGGCACCCTGAACCTGATCGATCCAGACCGCAACCCGCCCTCCACCGGTCAAAGCCTGAAAACGCCGTCAGCATCCTAAACTTCGAAAAAACGCAAAAACACTCATTGAAAACATGTACCCTCGCATGAGAGCCCTGAAAAACCTACCTGCCGGCACCTTGGCGCCGAGAAGTCTGCAGGGAATCACCCGGACACGGAGCCTGGGCTCTTGTTAAGGAACTGAGTGAAAGATACCGTGGATGATATAAATCCTACATTTCCTTAAGGACCCTAAACTATGGGAATTATGGTATATTCCTTATTATGGGTTATGCAGGATTTGTATCATCCACCGTACCGTAATGCGGAAACCCTACTATGTACTCTAGATCCCTACCATGGTCATTTCAGAAGTTAATCTCCTAAACCCTACAAGGAATAAATCCCCATGGTAACTTCAACGAAGCTCCTTAACCCTAATCCCTTATGGAACCATGAAAAGAACTCTTATAGTACTTAAAGGATAGCTCAGATTGTGGCAACTTCACGAAGCTCCAGAAAGTTGGAACATGGATTTGGTCTCAATGAGGTTAGGATTCCCTAGCCCTATACTTTACCTTAAGGCCATGAGGATAATGATGTCCAAATTTCCGGCTACTGCGGCTATTACTGCAAATGAAGCTGTAGAATGAGAATACCAATATCATTCTTATTAACCCCCTTAAGTTTGAGTGTACGTAATAAGATTAGATTAAGCATAATTCCTAAGAGCAGTAAACTATAGGGTCCTTAACGGAGGGTGGTCCGAGGGGGGAGGGTGCAAGGGATCCTTTGGGAGCCTGAAGGGAACCTTCGGGAGCACTAGAGAGAACTAGGGATTACGTAGCAGGTTGTCTACCCCCCTTGGAACCCAATACTCAAAGTATCATGGGAATTAGAAACTAAGGCAAATATTAAGGTAACTGTACTTATAGCTACTTATAACCCCAATTAAGGCACTTATAACATTACTTACTAAGTCTCATGATCCTCCAAGTAGGGATACTATAAGTAAAGGAAGCTCTTGAAGAAGAGCCCTAAACCCTAAACCCTAAACCTTAAACCCTAAACCCTAAACCCCAAACCGAATAGGGATACTGTTACTATAAGTAAAGGAAGCTCCTGAAGAAGAGCCCAGGAGCAGGTAAGTGAGGCATGAGCTGGCCCGGAGGCCCAGAAACCTCTCGGCCATCGGCTTAGGGCTTAGGGTTTAGGGTTTAGGGCTTTCGGCAGTTGTTCTTGTTTTTTTGGGGGGCCTCTTTTGCTTCCGCCAGCATAGGCCGTTTAGGGGTTCAGGGTTTTAGGGTCAAGGTTCTGGAGTTTAGGGTTTAGGGCTTTGGGTTTGGGGGTTCAGGGTTTAAGTGGCTTTGGAGGGCAGCTAGAATACTACCGCCTCTGCATGTCCTACATACAAGAGGCCAGCCCCAAAACTACAGCCTGGGCAAAACCTGAAGTATGGATTTCTATAACGGTATATTGGGCTCTTCTGGGGTTAGATAGTTTCTGTAATACCATCTAAACCCTATGGCGGGTTTCGCTTATCTCCTAGACCCTTGTAGTAACCCGTATAGTAACTCCCACACCTGATGGTCAGTCAACGTAACACTTACAGTAACCCTTCATAAACCCTAAACCCCTCAACCCCTATATAAACCCTCAACCCTAAACCCTAAACCCTAAACCCTAACTCTAAACCCTAAACCCTTTAATAAAGCGGGTGCCCGGGCGACCTGAGATGGGAAAGCTCCTTCTCGTTCTTGTACTCCTCGTGCGGTTCATCTTCAAGTGCTCGCGAGCGCTTCCGGCCAATAAAGGGGTTTAGGCTTATAGGGTTTAGGGGTTTAGGGAATAGGGTTTAGGGTTCAGGGTTTAGGGTTTAGGGTTTAGAGTTCAGGGTTTAGGGGAATACGGTTTAGGGTTTAGGCTTAAGGTTTAAGGTTTAGGTGCATAGGGTTTAGGGTTTGGGGGAGCGTTTCAGGCCAATAAACCGTCTGGTTAAACTAGTAACACCAAGGCCATATAGTGCCCATATAGAACAATATACTCCAAAACCCGATCCTGCTCGTGCAGTACCCATATATAGCTGCAATACAACATAGCCCCACACCCTAGACTATCCTAGTCACAACTGAGTCACATTTCCACTAAGGCCAATACTAGCCCCAAGAGTAACCTAGGAAGAAAAAGGGTGCCCTTTATGTTTAAAGGGGCCTTTAAGGGACCCTAGAAAAAGGGAATAAGGGCCTACTCTAGGTCCTAGAATATGTGTTTTTCTCTTTGAAGTTCTGGTTCTGGAGGCTGAGCCTTAGGGAGCTTAAGAAGAAGGGCGTAACTGTCGCTTTTCGTGTTGTGATGCTTTCCTTTTGATGGCGTTTCTGATGTCTGCGCGAGGTGCATCCCCCAGCCCATTTGGGCAGGCAAGCTGCTGGCGTGTTGCGATGTTTGGGGTTTAGGGCTTAAGGCTCAGGGTTTAGGGTGCAGGGAAAGGTTGCTGTCGCTCTGGGGTGTGGGTGTGGGTGCGTTTAGGGGTTCGGTAGGGGATTTTGGAAATACGGTCATACAGTTTTTGGAGATGTTTCCGTGTTCGATTTGAAGGGGTTTTGTAATGACATAATGAGGGAGATACCACGGGCACTTTGGACCAGCTGGTGACTTCAGCATCATTGGGGCAACTTCTGTTCTTACCCAGCTCGTCCGACGTGCCACAGGTACTGCTCCAGAACCTATTGTACCCTAATCGGGGCTATAAGTAATTATACGTATAGTTAGCCTATTCATAACCCCAATTACCAACTCTTGTGGCCTTTCTTTGCATCTCTGCTGCACCCTCAAGGCGGGGCAACATGAGAATCAGCTGACCACGTCCGTTGGTGAGTGGCACTGCTTGGAGATGTTTGTACCCAGACCCCCGGGAGGATCTAGAAAGTAGATCCCCTAATTTGGGGCCCTATACGACTAAGGGTACTTTATAGGAACCCCATTAAGGGATCTACTTTTTGGATCCTCCCGGGGGTCTGGGAAGTCTGTTCTGTCTTTAACCATGCAACTGCCGAGTCGAGGGTTGGGGGTCTTTTCGGCTTGGAATTTGAAATTTTGTGTGTTGCTACAGGCTTCACATAAGAAAACATCGGGAGAAAAGACGTGTTTCAACATCCTACTAAACCTGCAAGACGAAGGCCGCAAGGGAGGGAGAGAGAGAGAGAGAGAGAGAGGAGGCGTCCGTCCTCATCGATGACACCGATGAAGATGTTTAAGACGAAGATCGAGAAGAAGAGGACCCCCCCATAGAGCACCAGCAGCTCCAGGCCGTCTTCCGGCTCATGCTCAGGCAGGCCCTGCGAGAGTTTGTGGGTTTAGGGGCTAGGGTTCATGGTTTAAGGTTTAAGGTTTAGGGTTCAGGGTTCAGGGTTTACAGCTTAGAGGTTAGGGTTCAGGGTTTACGGCCATGTTTTAGGGTCTTACCATCATCTTTTTCACGGCTGTGAGAATCCTTGCTCTTGTTGTTGCTAGTGATTACTTGGGAGTTTCCGAAAATAGGGGTACCATATTTAGGGGTCCTTATAATACGGATCCTACTATTTAGGACCCTAAACCCTAAACCCTAAACCCTAAACCCTAAACCCTATATTAGGGCCCCCTATTTTCGGAAACCCCCACTTGGGGGGGAACCTGCACTTCTTCAGCCCCTATGCTGAAGGTTTGGGTTTCCGTCTCGAGGTCCCCGGGGTTCCTTTAAAGGGATCTATAAGGGGTACCTTTGAGGGGCTCCTTTAAGGGATCTATAGGGTTTAGGGACTCGCAAGTTAGTGCATTCAGTGCTCAGGCAGCGCAGCTGTCGTCCTTAAGCCTACGGAAAAGTCCGAAGCCGAGGACCGTAGCTGAGGCTAGAGCGTTGGGCCCGTCCTGAGCCTGCTGCCACTTTTGTCCGTGAAATCTACCATACAGCCGAAGCTTGAAGATCCGGGCAATCCAGGCGGGGTGTTTGGGTCATGGTAATACTGCTGATGGACAAAATCCTGCGTGACCTTAAGGACCCTAAACTATGGGAACTATGGTATATTCCTTATAATGGGTAATGCAGGATTTTGTCCATCAACAGTACTGAAGATTTATTGCCGATGCTTGAAGATTGACCCCAGGTCTTAAGGAAGAAAGCTGCCATGTTTGCTGGCATTCGGGCCCGTCCTGTGTGATCAGCGTGGCGAAAGTGCGGAAGACAGTCGTTGGCCAGAGGTGGTCTGCAGTCACCTGCGCCATGCAGGGCGAAACTGGGAACTGCTTGCAGGATCATGGGACTTAGTAACTAAGGTTATAAGTACCTTAATCGGGGTTATAGGTAAGTATGAGTATAGCTACCCTAATAATAACCTTAGTTGCTAAGTCCCATGATCCATTAAGTGCAACCCGGGAGCCGCCAGCTTTCGATCGCCGCCAGGAAAAACTCAAAGGGGAAAAGGAGGGACCCTGAATGGGGACCCCTACCCTCTAATGGGCTATATGATGGGTATATAGTAGCCTATATTAAGGGTATATACCTAGGGGTCCTTATTAAGGGTCCCTCCTTTTAAGCTTTGAAAAACAAAACCCCCCACCGAGGCTGGGCTCAAGCACAAACGAAGCTCCGAAACTGGACTCCACTCCAACTCCGGACCCCTAAACCCGAAACTAAGAAACCTCGAAGCCAAACGTTCCTGCCGACACAGAGAAGACGAAGGTCAAGCACCGAAGCTACCAGGGCCCGTTCAGACATCCTCAGGATTTTGCGCTCTGGGCCCAGCGTTCTGCCACCCGCTTTTGATGGTTTGGGTTCGGGCTTCGGGCAGGGAGATTCAGGTTGAGGGTTTAGGGTTTAGGGTTTAGGGTTTAGGGTTTAAGCCAGCCAAAAGCAACTCCAAACCCGGTAGACCCCCGCATAAAACAGAAAGACTCTGTGGAAATACACCTATATGGGTGGTTGTCAAATTTATGATCCCTTTTTGGGTACCCTAAATATTAGGTGCCGTATTCTAACAAGGACCCAAAAGGGACCCTAATTTTGACAGCCACCCACATATCTTGACGCACCTGCAAAAGCCCCGAACCCAACCATTCCAGAAAAGCCGATGGAGATGACTACTCTTAATCCAAAAACTAAACTTGACTACTAAACCTCCCAGATCCGAAATCCCAGACCCCAAAACCCCAAAACCCGGTTTAGGGCTTTTAGGGCTTAGGTCTCCAAAGCCTGCACGGTGTACATCGCGTGGGTAAGCGCGCCAAAGCAGACCACGGTGAAGGCCAAGGCGGGCAGAAGGCCCATCCTCGAGTCTTTGAAATCTAGGTTCCGGATTCAGGTTTTAGGGTTTAGGGGTTCCTTCAAAGGGATCTATAAGGGATCTATAGGGTTTTTTGGGGGGTTTAGGGTTTAGGATTTAAGCTTCAGGGCCAACAACCCTTAATAACAAGGGGTAACCTTTTAGCTACTGATCGGTATTAATTTGGAGACCCGAAAATAGAAAGGGCAAAAGGGTACTACTCAGAAAGCTTGTCGGTGTTGGTTTTCAAGGGTTCAGGGTGTAAGGTTTAGGGATCAGGGTTTGTGTATAAAGGTTCCAAAATCAGAAGGATTTATGTTGGCCAAATTTACCAGCTTCCCCCCCCAAATCCTTTGCAGCTTTTTTGAGCGGCTTTACACGAGCATGTTGTAAGGGTTCTCTACTTGGAGGTTCAGGGGTAGTTATAAGTAGGGCTATATGTCCCCTAATTCGGGTTATAAGTATAGTTACCCTACTTATAACCCTACTTACAACTACCCTAATCCCTAATCCCTATAACCCTACAGAAGCCTTTTAAAGGTTCCCCTACAGAACCCTACTTACAACCCTACTTATAACTACCCTAATCCCTAATCCCTAAACCCGATAACCCTGCAGAACCCTTTTAAAGGAACCCTACTTACAACCCTACCTATAACTTCCCATGAACCTCCAAGTAGGGCTCCAGGGTTCCGGGTTGAGTCTTAGGGTTTCTTGCGGCGGTTAAGACGGAGGGCTCTGGAAATCTTGGATTGTGGCTTATAGGGTTTAGGGTTTAGGGTCTAGGGCTTCAGGTTTAGGTTCTGGTGTGTTGAGCTTGGCATATAGGATTTGGCAGTTTCAGGTTTAAGGTTTGTGGTTCTGGACTTGTTGCTTTTATTAAAGGGGAGTTTCCAAAAATATAAGGTCCCCACAATAAGGTACCCCTAATTTTCGGAAACTCCCAACCCTAAACCCTTTATAGATCCCTTTTAGGAACCCTTAAAGGATCCCTTTAAAGGTACCCCTGGAGGTCCCCACAATAAGGTGCCCTTGTTTTCGGAAACTTCCCAAAGGGGGTTTTGGCAATGGGGCCTTGGAGCTGAGGCGCGGCGTCTGGAGGTTAGGGTTTAGGAGTTCAGGGTTTAGGGTTTAGGGTTTAGGGTTTAGGGTTTAGGAGTTCAGGGTTTAGGGTGTAGGGTTTGCCGTAGAATGGCGCAGAAGCGAATGATCTTGGACCAGTGTCTTTTCGAGTGCGTCGTCATGTGACGACTGGCCGTTAAAGCCTGATTGTGGATGGCTCTCTCTTTTAATTCTCCCACCCCACGCCGTCTAAGGCGGCCAAACCGCCAAAACCTACTCCTTTTAGGGTTTAGCGCCTAAACTCATTCCAAGGTTTTCTCTTTCTTGAAACCGCAAACCGCAGGGCCAGGTGGGCAGGGCAAGCAAGGCAGGTAGGAGGGCAGAGCAGGGCAGGGAGGCAGGCAGGGCAGGCAGGGCAGGCAGGGCAGGCAGGGCAGGCAGGGCAGGGGCAGGGGGGCCGAGGGGGGCGCAGGGAGGCCCAGCGACTCAGCATTGGGGTTTAGGGTAATTACTTTATTAAGGGACCAGTACTGCCGAGGAGAACCTGCTCCGGTACCGGGCCTGACGTGGGTGCTACCGTCCCCATGGCTGTGGAGAGGCGGGCAGGCGTCTTGGGTCGCTCTGCGCCATCGAGGTCGAGGGGCTTAAGCGCCGCCCACCCACAGTAGGTGGGCGGCCTATGCCTTGAGTTTAGGGTTTAGGGTTTAGGGTTTAGGGTATAGGGTTTAGGAGTTCAGGGTTTAGGGTTTAGGGTTTAGGAGTTCAGGGTTTAGGGTTTAGGGTTTAGGGGTTAGGGTTTAGGGGTTTAACTCTTCGAATATCTTCATTGTGTAAGGAGAATTTTGGAGGAGCCTCGATCTATTCTGTATTCGTTGACTGGAATAGAAGGTTCGTTTGTGAGCAAAGTTACAGGCTTCAGTTTGCAGGCGGAGCGTCAGGAGCTTCTGCAAAGGCAAAAGTGCACAGCCGATCCACTCGCTCAAGATGACGCTCTCCAAGAGGCGCATCCAGTAGATCCTCAGGCTGAAATCTTGCCCAGGAACTTCGTTGACGTTGCATGGGCATAAGTGGCAGACTCGGAACCCCAGCTTTGATCTTACGTCTTACATGCCACCGACCGTGTTTTGGTGTAGCAACTGTAACCCGGCTAGTTCGCCCACTCATGAGTGCGCGGGCGCTTCGAAACTAGACTGGAGGGCTACACCCATCAGTGCTTGGGGATCTTGATTCTAGGGAACATGCTCCCCTGGTTTCCCCACTAAACCCTAAACCCTAAACCCTAAGGACATGCTCCCCTGGCTTCCTCATGAGGATTAACAAAGGGGGAGGATTTCGCACTTGCACAAGAGTTCCAGAAATTCTAGACCCTCATCCCTAGACCCAAACCTTGCACCTCCAACCTTGCTAGACGGGGATCAGTAATGGGGGAGCAGCAATTTGGGGCATATTAGCCAGTAACATCCACCTATCTACGGGCTTGGGGCCGAGGGCATTTCGAGCAAGATGTGAAGGTTTAGACATTATATATTATATATTATGTATTGTACATCATTATGTAGATCTGTTATATATATATACACATGAATATAAGTATAAGTGTTCTTTGCCACCCGGACCAAAATCGGATTCCAATGAACAGTCTTGGCATCAACACGACCAAAAGATGTAGCCAGCGCTCAGAGTGGAAGGCCAGCAAAGCTATGGGGATGATGCTGCGCAAAAGGTCCCAAGCGTTGCCGATGTTAAAGTAGCCTCTGAGTTCTCCGGTGCGGATACGGCCAAGGACTTCGGCGATTTCTAAGCAGAGGTCAACGAAACCTTTTGCAATCATCCAGTCGGCGACGACTCCATCTCCTGGGCTCTTATGTAGCAACTGGAGAACAGCTCCACAGTATCAGTAAGAATATGCAGCAAATAACATGTCAATGCGTTCCCTGTAATGACCTAAAATCACATCCTTAACAAGAGCCCAGTCTCTGTGGTTGGTGGCTGTCAGGCTTGGATCGAAAACACCTTCGTCCATCCGATAGTAAAGCGAGCTCGCCCCAAGTCCGACCACCTTGCTGCCCCAATAACCCGACGCAGAGGAATGCTCAAGAGCCCTCTAGATTCAAAAAGCTCACGGTCCCTAAACCCTAAACCCATCCTAAACCCTAAAACCCTAAACTCAAAAGTTTGGGTATCGAACAGCTACGCCACTCGCTCATGGTTGAAGCAGGTCTGCAAAACAAGCAGGCTCAGGCCCCAGACAGAGATCAGACACTGAAGCATCCTCCGCGCTGGTTCAGGGATCGAGTTGAAAGGTACCATGATGCCGAAACCAGGTAGTTTAGCAGATGCACACATATACATATACATGTACATCAACGCATACACATACACATACACATGCATATGCTCGGCTTATATACATAAAAAGTGAGTTTTCTTAATTACAAAACTGCGGACATTCAAAAAGACATGTATGCATGTATGTATGTATGTATGAATGTAAATGTAAAAACGGTGTAATGGATAAGTGAGTATCTTTATCTTGGTCCATGTGTCTTGATTATGTCTTGGTCTGTTGATCTGCTGCTTTATCCAGCAACCTATTTGCTGACTGATCACATGATCCACATATATACCTTAACTTAAGTTACTGAACAACAACGCAGCGTCTCAAACCACATGGCACCATGGTCGAAGGTGTAGGACACTGCAGCCCGCAGCGTACTGGACTCGTAGAGGCAGAGACCAGCATCCCCCAACCGCACGGAAGAGATGAGGGCTGCAAAGACATTGGGGGAGATGATGTTCGGGACGTGGCAGACTCGAATGTTGGCATCGAGATGAGGGCCGATATCCGAGTAGCTAAAGTTGCGCACACGCTCGCGAGGGAGGATCTTGTAGTGCCACTTCGGGAACTCAAGCCCCGTCTCATTGAAGACCCAGTGCTTGTCCATCTCGTAAAGGACGGTGCTCTGAACCCCATCCCAACTTTGCCTGAAAGGCACCCTTTGTGGCAGCGGGTGCCACTCCGGATCTGTGGCAGTGGCTTTTACCGTGGCCATGTCCAGCAGCATTGCGGCAGACTCAGGGTACCTTCGTACCAATCGAGCGATATCCTGGGCTGCTCTTGGAGACTCTTACACACTTGCAACTATCGCTGCTGCTTGTTACAAACCTTACCAGGAAAAATAGTACGTAGTTGGAAAGAAGTATGCTTGAACCTACTGAAACAAAATCAGAAAGAATGCTTCAAGAGCGGCCAAATCTCTGTGTGACTTAGTTGATCCGCCATGCGCAGAAGGCTGCCATCAGATAGCCGGTTCAGGAAGAGCGGAATGCCTGAAGAAGTGGGCTCCTTGTCTTTAGGGGTACTACAAGGAAGTTCCTTGAAAGCCGTCGAGAAGTGTGCCAAGTTCAGGGTTTAGGGCTAAGGGTTACTATAAGGGACTAGCACTACTGGCACCGGAGTGATTGGAGTTTAGAGTAGGGATATCATAGGGTTGAGGACTACTTTCTGTGAGTATATCGGGACAATACAGGACAAGAATCATATTCTACTATAATAACAATGTAGTATTGGTACCATTGCGTAGATTGTTAAGGCTTAAACATCAGCAATTGCTCGCTACAGGAAGAACCCTCAAATGGGACCAAGGTGCATTCCGGTGCACCGGATGCGAAAGATTGGAGGCTTCGCACAGTGGCGGGAGCCGCATCGGCAAGATCTTTCGTGTTCATCTTCGCCTTTCCCGAACGCCAAACCCTAGAGCTTAAGCCTTTTGAGCCATTCCCGAAACAGCATACCCTGAGCCGACTGCCCTGCCCATACTCTTGTTTAGTCTTGGACCAATTCAGGCTGGGGCTAACCCCTGAAGCCACCCTAAACCCAGAAATCCCTCAAGCCGCCAAGCCCTCAAACCCAAAATCCAAAAAGAAGGGAAGCACCCTACAAACTCGAAACAAGCTTCGGAAGTCCTTAAGCCCAGACCCTAAACGTGTTAAGAAAACGTCATGACCCTAAAAAGGAATGCCGGGCGCGGCGTTTCGCGCGGTAGATTATTTACCTTCTGACCTCTTTTTGGCCTAATCTCTTCTAACAGCTAACACAGCAGACCCCTTCTTTCCAAAAAGCGGACTAGGCGGTTGCCGGCAACCTCAGGCTGTACGGGAGGAGGGTTTACGACGTCGGCTTCTTGCGCAGGAACAAAAAGTGGCTTGAAAGCAGACATGGTTGCCCACGTCACACCGCCTGCGTCTCTATGAGACTTGTGCAGCTGACCGAACACGGCAAAAACGTCTTGCCTGCAAAACCGTTGTTTAAACTGGAAAAAAGCACCTACAAGCGCCTGATGTCTTCCATGCGGGGACGTTTCTCGTCAGAGTTTCCCCACAATGTTGAAAGGTCGTCTGCCAACCACTTTCCGGAAAGCAGCGAGAAACCCATCAATTTTCTGTGTGCCCCCCAGTCTAACTTCTTCTTCAAACCTATCGCTTACCCGCACGCAAACCTTCGTTCTCTTAGAGAACTCAGGATGCGGTGGCTTGTGCTTCACACAAGTGTGTGACAGGCAAAGATCACCGTCCGTCAAGCTTCCGTCACGCAAAGGGCTTGACAAATGCTTGTAAGCCTTCGCAGCATCTGTGTGGCAGAAGCGAACTACTGCAAGTACGGGTTGGTCTGAGTCTAAGAGCAAAGCCGATCGCATCTCGTGCAAAGAAATGGGACTGCCTCCCCCTTGACCAGCCTGCGTTATGCGGTATGGCAAGCGGTCGAGCCACACCAAACTCGAACCTTTGCGTGCCACCACAAGGTACCGCAACCCAGATGATGCCTCCAGGGCGTCCAAATCGTCCAACAGACCGAAAAGCCACTTCATCAAGCTCAACGTTTGCACCTACCAATCACAAGACTGTTGTTCAGCTGTTCGGTCAAAGGCACAAAACATCTGCGAAAGCTCTCGGAAAATGCTCGGATTGCACGGCTGTCAATTCCAAGCACCAAACTGGCATCGTCTGGAGACGTGTGGAGCTTCGACGTGAACAACCGGAGAGCTCCTGCGATGGACTGCAAACCCAACCGGTGGCCTTCCAGCCAGTCCTCATCGACAGTAGTCAGCGCCACACTCTTGTCTGCAATGCAGACAACACCAGGCTGCAGACAGACTTTGAACTGCAGCAGCGCCTGGTGTGCGACACTTTCCTGTTCTTGCACGGACTCGGTGGTCTCGACCATGTGGACACATGGTCACTTGACCCCCGGACCAACGCGAAGACATAGCAGACTGCGCAGTGCCCCCCAGGTAGAAAGTGTTCTAAGCCGAAGACTGCAGTAGAAGAAAGAAACAAGCATTTACAAGCAAAGATTGAAGATATCAACTCGCCTTGCAGCTTCTAGACTGTGCTTTCGAAGCTTGATAAAATTGTGCAGAATCCTTGTAGGATCCTCGAAAACAAAACGTCCACCGCATGAAATGCTGCGCCTATATAATGGAAGCTGCATTTCATCTGTAAGAAAGAGAGTCGCTACCGCATGACGAGCTGCGCGCGCCAAAAGAAGCCAAAAACCCTTCTAAACACCCTAGAAGACCATTAAAAAAAAACCTACGAACCCCAGCCAAAAAACTATTTAAAAAAAAAACACAACAAAACAGCGTATAAACCCTCTGAAAAGGCAAGCCCTGGGCCTCGCGGATGCCCAGCTCCAGGGGAGTGAGCTCCTCTACGTCCGGCTGGGGGTCCTGGAGCTCCTGGGCCGCTCTTGGGCCACGAAGAGCAGATAGCAATGAATAGCAATAATAAATATCAATAATGATGATAATAGTAATAATAATAACATTAATAACAATAGTACGTCGATAATAAATACCAATAATGATGATAATAGTAATAATATCCTCGGTAGTGAATAGTGTGAGGTAGTGGTTAATGGTGATAATCGTAGTAGTAGTAATAATAACAATAATAGTAGTGAATAGTGTGAGGTAATGGTAAGTAACTTAGACTTAGAATAAGGAATAATGAATACGAATAATAATAATGCTCATGATAATGATAACTAGTATCAGGCAGTGGCAAATAATAGTAAGTAGCAGTTGTAGTTGTAGTCGTCGTCGTCGTAGTAGGAGCCGTAGTAGTACTCGTAGTTGGTGGTAGTGGTAGTAGTGGTAGTAGTAGTAGTAGTAGTAGTAGTAGCAGCAGCAGTAGCAGTAGTCGTGGTAGTAGTAGTAGTAGTAGTAGTAGTAGTAGTAGTAGTAGTAGTAGTAGTAGTAGTAATAGTAGTAGTAGTAGTAGTAGCAGTAGTAGTAGCAGTAGCAGTAGAAGTAGTAGTAGCAGTAGTAGTAGTAGTAGGAGTAGTAGTAGTAGTAGTAGTAGTAGTAGTAGTAGTAGTAATAGTAATAGTAGTAGTAGTGGCAGTCGTTGTCATCGTCGTCGTCGTCGTCGTGTTGGCGCTTGTGGTGGAGGTGGTGGTGGTCGTGCTACTGGTAGTGGTAGTGGCTATAGGCATGAACATATAGTGCAAATCGTAGGAGACGACTACAAACCCCAAGAAGAGCCCCATACACCCTTCCCACAAAATGTGAGCGCCCTATCAAAAGCTCGAAGCAAAATAAACTATAGCCTATAGCTTGTAAGGGTTTAGGCTTTGGGGGTTTATGGCTTTGGGTTTCGGGTTTGGGGTTCAGGTTTGTCGCTTGGGGCTTACTTGGAGGATCATGGGACTTAGTAAGTATGGTTATAGGTACCCTAATTGGGGTTATAAGTTATAAGCAGTTATAAGTATAGTTACACTAATAATAACCCTAGTTACTAAGTCCCATGATCCTTCATGTAGGGCTTGAGGAAAGCAAAAGCCAGGAAGGAAGGCCCAGGCTCCTTGCTATTGGCTCGAATAGCTGACTCCAGGTCCCTCAGCAAGCCACCTCGTAGGATCGGGGATACTTGCTGGCTTTAGGGCTTAGGTTCAGTGTTAAGGGTTTAGGGTTTATGCTTTAAGGTTTAGGATTTAAAGTTTAGGTTCAGGGTTTAGGCTTTAGGCTTTCAGGTTTAGGATTTAGGGTTTAGGGTGGCTCTGTCGAGGGGCGACAAGTTTGCTGGAAGGGGGTCTGTAAGGGTGCTATAGGCCCTAAACACCCTTAAAAAATCATGGGACTTAGTAACTAAGGTTATTTAGGGTGACTTTATTTACAACTGCTTATAACCCCAACTAGGGTACTTATAACCTTACTTACTAAGTCCCATGATCCTCCAAGTAAACCCTGAACCGACATGATCACGGGATCTTTTGCTCAATATCTTGGTTTAGGAGTTTAGCGGTTCAAGGGTTTCGGTGTAAAGCGGTCGAAAGGGCCAAGCAGGAAGGGCTCTGCAGGGGCTTTACGGATTGCAACTTTGAGGGTTTAGGTATTACGGGCTCTGGGCTTTATGGATTACGAGTTTAGGATTCGGCGTTTGGGGCAGATTTTGGTGGTCCTGGCTTACAGCTCAACAAACTGCGGGTTGTCTCATTCAAAACGCCTGGCACGCATGACAGGAAGATGCATGAACCAGCCCGGAGCAACCAAAATCCAGCCAGGGACACCGATAGCAGGTTTTAGGGTGACACTGTTGATGGACAAAATCCTGCATTACCCATTAGAAGGAATATACCATAGTCCCCATAGTTTAGAGTCCTTGGGGTAATGCAGAATATTGTCCATCAACAGCAGGGCATCCACTAAACTCTAAAACCTAAACCCTAAACCTCAAACCCTAAACCCTAAACCTCAAACCCTAAACCCTAAACCCTTAACTCTAAACCCTTAACTCTGAACTCTAAACCCTAAACTCTAAAACCTAAACTCCCAAGGTCTTCAAAGGTTGCGGGCCTTCGTCCGGCGTGTCCGGCTCCCCCTCCTCGCCGACATCATCCCCAGCTTCCGCACCCAATTCCTGAGCTCTTGCTTTAAAAGATTGATTTTTTTTAAGAAAGGGTGCACATCAACTTCAAAAAATGTTTGAATGTAAGTTACCGTAGTAAGGAAACCGTAGTATTTACTATAGATCTCTATTATTTAAGTGACCGTAGTGGGGAAACCATACTATTTACCATAGAACCCTATTATGGTAACTTAACACCGATTCCGTAACAAGAGCCCAGATTCATCCAGTACCAACTGCCGGGCGCGAACGAAATCCAAACCCTCCAGTGCTGCATCATCGAAACCCAACTTCCGGGCGCGGGCGCACTGCACCGCCCAGATGGTAGCCATGTTTCCTTCGGATTCAGGGTCGAAGATTTAGTCCAGGAGTGCAGGTTTTGTGGTGAGGGTTCGCACGTGGCCGGGAGATTAGTGTCGCCCATGCTACACACCTTTGAAACGGAGCTGGGATTTAATTTGGGCATCATGCACTGGTAAGGACTCCAGCATTGCAACTACGAAGACGGGCCCTATCTGATCTTACTGCCCTCACCCTCCCGGGATTGCAGGCATGCTGCCCGGAGGTATGCTACACTTGAGGGATCCCAAGGAGGCCCGTGATGACCTGTCATGATGCTCAGACCGAAGCCTTGTTAGCTGTGACTGCGGTTCTCGTGACAACAAGGCTTAACCGGCTCCCATTGTGTAGTTCAGCAAGTTTTCTGCCCGAGGACCATCGTGTTCAGCTGGGTTCACAGTTAACACCGTCGCGCCATCGAATGTGTTCGCAAGTAAGGTGTATCCATTCCCCCGACACTTCGTCTCGAGAGACTCGCTATTCAAGCATAACATAGCGACCTTAAAAGCCAGAATGAGCTTATCCCTAATATTCAACTCCTAATTATATTATATTAGGCATACGGGGTCGGAAGGGAAGTGCACCGCTTCGGGATTCATGGCGAGCCAGCTTTGAGAATATCCGACATTGGAGCGTATTGCAACAGATTTTTGAAATCGTACAGATGCCTGCGAGCAAACGTTAAAAACAAATAATCCTGGCAAAACGTATGCGACTGTGGCATGCGGGGTTGCGTGGCGAGCGCCCTCTGATTGCTCTGACCTATGCGATACCCTACAACACCAGCTCCGACAACCCCAACAACGGAGCTTCAAAACAAGTGCCGAGCTTCCAGATTGGTACGCCACGTGGAGGCAGGACCAGTTATTGGCATTTCGGCTTTCAACGTCAGCACGCCTGAGGGTGAGACGTTTGGGGTTCGCAGTTCGGCTTTCTTGGGCTCGAAGTCTCGAAGCACGGAAATCTTGGGAATGAAAGTGCCTTACGAACCCCCAAAATCCCATTCAACCCCGCTGCGGTTCCCTCTTTTCAGCTCCACGCGCTGCCTGGCACAGAGAGCATCAATCATCTCCTTGCAACCGCCACGGCCCTCCTTGAAGACGGCAGCATGGATCACCTGGCTCCATCGGCTGGGGGCTTGAAAGGCTCAAGAACCCTGAGCCTTCAAGAGTCACGGTTTAGGGTTTAGGGTTTAGGGTTTTCACCCTAAATAAACTCTAAGCCCCAAACCCTGAACTATGAAACCCTAAACCCGGAACCAGGAAACCCTGAAATCCTGAAGCCCGAACCCCGAAACAGCAAGGCCCCCACCCTGAATGCTAAGCCCCCTCTCAAAAAGTAAAAGGAGGGACCCTTAATGGGGACCCCTAATGGGTTTTGAATACCTACATTAAGGGTATACACCTAGGGGTCCTTATTCGGGGTCCTCCTTTTACCCTTGGCACCTCTGTGGTGCTAAGGCCTGAACACTAAGCCCGAAGCTTTACAACCAGCAACGGAACTCCCAAACCCCGAACTCACCACGCCTCACAGTAGGAGATGGTGACCATGCTGATTCACAGTGGCGACGGTAATGATGATGATGACCATGACGATGATGGTGGTGATGATGATGGTGATGATGATGATAATGTCATTGACAGACGAGAGCAAAACAACAAATCGACAACAATGTCAATGCACTTTGTCACGACTCATTGTCCGGCTGCGTGAATGCTGTGAGTGCTGTTGTTGGAAATGGTGCTGAGCTACCCCAACAGCGAACAATAAGAAGAAGGGAAGTGTAGATGGTACTAGTTTGAAACATGGCATATGCTCAGAAATAAGGTTCATGTCTCCTGCAACGCCATGAGCAGCTTTACGAATTTCACCACAAACATGCCGACAATAGTCTCAACAGGAACGAAAACCACGACATTCATCAAAGTACTAAGGATGGGAACATGAATGACGAAGGTGGACAAGCGTAGACTATTCACCATAAGGAGCAGAAAGAGAACAACGACACGCACTACACAAGCCGGCCGTCATGAGAGAAGTCCTATCTACTGCATCACACTCAAGAAGGACAACACAACACAAAGACACGACACGAACCACCGCCGCCACCGGAAGCTCTACCGCCGTTATAACAACCACACCAGGATTTTCACGATGCGTATCCGAGTTATATGTACAAACGTTAGCAGAGCGGAACACAATCCATGGACGGAAAGAAGAACCGCGCTAGAAATATCCTACGTGCCGAACTTCCAGTTCCTACTTGGAGGTTCAGGGGTAGTTATAAGTAGGGTTATAAGTAGGATAACTATACTTACAACTCATATTGGGGGACTTATAACCCTACTTATAACTACCCCTGAACCTCAAATATACCCTCAGCCCAATCGTCAAAAGTTAACTCTGCAGCCTCGTAGTTGTTCATCCCGTCCCGCGTGACCATGCTGTGGAGGTCGGCCCGCCTTCCCGAGGCTCCAGTCGATGCTTCGTAGGGTTTTCGCGGTAGAAGTAGAAGACCGCTTTAGGTTTTAGGGTTTTAGGGTTTAGGGCTTTAGCACTTTGGGTTTTTAGGGTTTAGGGTTTCGGGCTTATGTCAAACTCTTCCGCCAAAGTTCGAGCTCCAGCTTCCAAACTGGTCCCAGGATGGTTCGAACACAGAGATCCCGACCTACGGTTCGAACATAAAGTTTCTGAACCCAGGGTTCGAACACAGAGCTCCCCAACCTGGAGTTTGAAAAGAGCTTTAGGGCTTTAGGATTTTTGGTTTAAGGTCAAGGGTCTAGTAGAAGGCTTTGATGAAGCTTCTGCTTAAAGGCGTTGATGAAGCGCTCCTGCGTGCATCTGTGCCCGTCTCTGTCTCCGTGTCTGTAGCTATCTGTCTGGCCGTCCGTCTGTCTTTGTTTGCTTTTCCCTTCTCTGAGTTTGAACAACCCGAAACACATGGGCAACAAGAGGGGCTTTCAGACGCATCAGGGTTGATGTACCCTAGCCTGAACCCCAAACCTTCAACCCCGAACCCTAAACCCTGGACCCTGAAGCCTAAACACTGAAGCCTAAACCATCTCGAAGATCAGGCCCTTTGTGCAGCCTCCGGTCCTGCAACAACCGAAGCCTGGGCCCTGAACTTAAACGGTTTCTTCGCTCGAAATGGGAGTGTCCGAAAGTAGGAGACCCCAATATACTACGCTAAATAGTAGGATCCTTACTATAAGGACCCCAAAATAAGGTACCCCTAATTATCAGAAACTCCCAGATGGTTCTCAAGCTCAGCATCGCTTGTACAGTCCCCATGGTTCATGGGTTCGGGTTAATGGAAACTCGATTTGTTCTTCTACCACAGGCGGGTCATAACTCTCACAGATGGAGCGCCCCAAACCCCAAAACCCTAAACCCCAAACCCCTAAGCCCCCTAGCACCTTTGAAGCAGCAGCTGCACCATGGACAGGTGGCCACGGCTTGCTGCGAGGTGGATGGCCTTCACAAACTACCAATGGGCATGTCGTGGGCTTATAGAAACAGTAGATACTGCCGTCGCTGTCGGAGTACTACCAATTAAGTAGCAGCCAGAAGAAAATGAATAACTTATTCACTAGACACCTTTGGTTAGTAGGGACTGGAGGAATGTGGTACAAACTATAACTACTACGGTTGATGATATAAATCCTGCACTACCTTAAGGACCCTAAACTATGGGAATTATGGTATATTCCTTATTATGGGTAATGCAGGATTTATATCATCAACAGTATTACTACCATTCTTCCATTCCGTACTAACCAAAGGTAAGCACCGGCAGGACAGCAACTCCCATAGGCTCCAAACCCTGCGATCAGAGTCGAAAGCGAGGCTTTCAGCTCAGCCTAGTTATACCCGAACCGTAAACCCTTCGCTAGACTGCTTCAAGGGCGCAAGCCTCAAAGCCTAATCCCCAAATATAGGGGCCTTAATCAATTAATGGTTTGAAAAAGGTTTTGGGATGATATATTCTACTACGCAGGCGGGTACATTAAACATCATAATGGAGCGACCTTCAAGCCTAACCCGAACCACGAAAGCTCTGACCCGAGCATCAACGCCCTGAACCGAACTTAAAGTCCTTGGCTCTGGGGTTAAAGGTTTGGGTTTACGGTCCGGGATCCACCGCCCTCCCCCAATGCCTGAACCCTTTGAACCCAAGCCTGGGTTGCATCCTATGTGGAGGAACCTTATATGGTGGAACCCTCGTAAACCTTGTGGAACCCTCGTAAGCCCTTTGCCAAGATCTTGCCTTGCCTTGCCGGTGCAAAACTGCTGACTTCCTTGCCAGACGGTCTGATAGCCGTAGATAGCATCGACGTCCACACCTGCGGGGTTGGGGTGAATCTCTTAGTGGGCTGGGGCTTCAGGATGTGGGTGGTTGTCAAAATTAGGTCCCTTGTTGGGTCCCTATTATAATACGGCACCTGATATTTAGGGTACCCAAAAAGGGCCCCTAATTTTGACAAGTGCCCATGTAGTGATCAGGTTTCAGCATTGAACGGAATGCGGGTCAGGGGGTTTAGGAACCGGGGGTGGTTTGATTCTCTCGTGGCTCCAGCTACTTACTTTAACAACGAGGCCCCCAAAAGGCAAAGGGGTGCAAGGGTGTTCCCGGGGAGGAGTTCAGGCCCTTTAGGGTTTAGGGTTTAGGCTTTAGAGTTTAGGGTTTAGGCTTTAGGGTTTAGGGTTTAGGCTTCAGGGTTTAGGGTGTAGGCCTTAGGCTTTAGGGTTTAGGGTTGAGGGTTTAGGGCCTTGGTCTTCACAGGCTTCTTTCTTTTAGCTCCTGTTCTCCAGTGGGTGCTCCGTTGCCCCTACCAGGAAAACGAGGCCTCATGCAAACTTTACCCAGGCTCAGGACTGGGTTTAGGGCTCAGGGTTGGCAACCCTAAACCCCCTAAGCCCTCAACCCGAAACACTAAACCCTAAACCCTAATTTAAATCCGAAACCCTAAACCCTAAACCCGAAACCCTAAGCCCTCAACCCGAAACTCTAACCCTAAACCCGAAACTCTAACCCGAAAAATCCTAAACGGCGCCTGCATCCAGTTGCTTGATGACCTCCTCCTCGTCGTTGTTCAACACATTGACGTGGAAGCTGCTGCCAGTGCAATCTCGATTGTTCCTTCGCTCTTGGGGCTTAGGGTTTAGGGCTCAATGTTTAGGGTTGAGGGTTTAAGTTTAGGGTTTAGGGTTGAATGCTTGAGGTTTAGGGTTTGCAGCTTTGAAGCTTAGGGTTGAGGGTTTCAGGCTCAGGGTTTACGTAGGGTTTGGGGTTTGGGATGATCTTTGAAGCATGCAGTTGCACGACGACGGATGAAAAACCTAGACGAAAACGTTGAGCAGCCTGTTTTAAAGCCTAAACCCTAAACCGAAGATCTTAGCACCAATGGCACGAACACGCAGAGAGTGGAAACGCTGGAGATAGTTACGAAAGGAACCCAAAGAGTCACGGAACAGCCACCGAAATCTCAAAATGCCAAGGAAAGGTTTCAACCGGCATTAAATTATTATGCTTTAGTCTATCACGACTCGCAAAGACTGCACTTCCAAAGCCAACAGAAAAGCAGTCAATGACGCAGAACGAAATCGATCTGCCGTAGCTGTGGTGCAGTACTTACCAGTAGTTTGCTCTGCAAGTATCCCTGATTTTGCGAATGGCCTTCCGAGTCCAGTCGCTCAACCTTACACCGTGAACCCACAACCCTCAAATCCAAAAGGTTTAGGGTTTGGGCTCAAGCGCAAACCTCATGGCAAGAAAACTTGAAACCCTAAACCCTAAATCCTCAACAGCCCAGGGTCCACTTGAAGAAGGCTTTCGCGGTCTCAGGCCGTGCGATGTTGTAGTCGTGCCCAAGGTCCACAGCTTCCGAGGCATCCGATAGCAGACGGGCGCTGGCCATAGCAAACGGTGGGCTTGACGCAGCTTCAGATACACTTGGGACTTTGCTTCCGATGCTAGGCTATAAGTTCTTTAAAAGCGCCCCTTAAAAACTCTACTATAGGTTTAGGGTTTGATGTTCAGTGCTTAGGCTGTGGGGTCTGGGGTTTCGG